TTCCCCAGCACACAAGTCCCTCCGCTCTCCTCTACTCCAGTTCCCTCCTGGATGCTGGAGGAATCAGCCCTCTTCACATCAAAGGCCACGCTCCCTCTCTCACCATCTTAAACCCTCAGCCTCTTTGATGGTTCCAAGCGCCACCCCCTCCGATCTCCTCTCTACCAAATTGCTCCCATCAGCATCTGGTATGCTTCTCCACTGTGCCCCCCCTAATTTCCCCTCTTCTCTCCACATCTTCATCAAGCTGTCTCACCTGTCAGCTTCCTGTCATAAGCAAGCTTCTGGAAAAAGGTGTCTGTGCTCACTGTTGTTGCTGGTTTCTCACCTCCCCTCACTTTTGTGTTAATCGTAGGTCTACAAAGGTGCTGTTCCATATTTTCGTATAGGCCATTTACTCAAGGTCGCATCCCTTCCTGTCATTCCCTTCATATTATAGCGATACACTCTAACACGTGACAAATTTATATCTATTCTTGAAAAATACAGTGTTGTCCTGTCCCTTGTGAATTTATATAATGTATGCTATAATTCTCACTATTTTTGAAGATGTGTCAGTGATGGTGCAGGTAAAGTTAGGTTAGTTCATTTCTGCTGATAATTGTGTAGTATTCCATCATATGCACACTCTGCATTTTATATCTGCCTTAACCTAGTCGTGGACATTTAGAATGGGCCTGTGGGGAGAGTGGTTCTTTGTGAGATGTCCTATGAACTAGTTTTTAAGACACACTTAATTTCACTAAGAGGGAGCAGATGTTCTCCAGAATGGCCAGAACTGGAGTCATTTACATTTTCACCGTAAGTGCCTGAGGTTTCCTGTTTTCTGTTTCAGACCTGCGGTATCTAACTCAACTTTGCACATAAACAGCAAGTCGTCCCACCATTCTTTGTTGAAAAGATTTTCCTGTCTTCACTGAACTGCCTTTGAATCTTTGTTAAAAATCAATCGATCATATATGTGTGGATCTATTTCTGGATTTGCACATCTGTTTCATTGATTTATTTGTCATTATTATGCTAACACCACACTGTCTTGATTATATTAAGTCTTAAAGTCAGGTAGTGTAAGTCTTCCAACATTTCTCTTTTTAAATGTTGGTTTAGCTATTCTAGATCACTTGCATTTCCATATGAATTTCAGAATCAACTGTCAGTTTCTACAAAAAAACATGCTGGGATTTTGATTGAGATTACATTGAATTGATAGATCAGTTTGGTGAGAATTGACATCTCAGCGATACTGCATCTTTCAAGCCATAGATATGGTGTATCTCTCCATCTGTCTTATTTAATTTTTCTAAGCAGCGTTTTTAGTTTTCAGTGAAAGATCTGCCCATCCTTCATCAGAGTTGTCCCTAAATGTTTTATGTCTTTGTAATAAGTGATATTGTTTTTTTATTTCAACTTTTAATAGTTTGTTGCTAGTGTACAGAACTACAATTGATTTTTGGTATATTGATGTATCTTACAACCTTGCTTAACTAATTCTAGAAGCATTTTGGTAGATTCATTAGAATTTTCTTTTCTTATTTTTAAAGATTTCGTTTATTTTTAGAGACAGGAGAAGGGAGGGAGAAACACATCAATGTGTGGTTGCCTCCCATGCACACCCCACTGGGGAACTGACCTTGCCTACAACCCAGGCATGTGCCCTGACTGGGAATTGAACCAGCGACCTTTTTGTTAGAAGGCTGGTGCTCAATCCCCTGAGCCACACCAGCCAGGGCAGGAATCAAGTTTATTATCAATAAACCCACAACTTAAATGAAATATATAATTTCTTCAAAGACAAAAAGTACCTAAGGTTATTCAAGAAGAAATAGCCCTGAAGAGCCCCCTTATCAGAGAAGTTAAATATGTAGTTTAAAATCTTCCCCCAAAGAAGTCTCAGCATCAATATCTGGTATACATAATCCTCAAATCTGTTTTCACTGGCAGAAGGGAACAGCAGCAACACAACTCCAGGTGACATTAAAAGCACTCAAACCTCCGAACCAACTTGAAAATGTGTATGGTTATAAGAAAAAGCTAAAAATAACATGCTACAAACTAAGGAAATGTGAAAGCTAATTGTTGGCCCCAGAGAATTTGCTAAAAATGAACTCCATGAACATTTTCAAAACTAGGCCACCAGGCCACTGGACTCCTCAAACGTGTGGGAACTGGATTTCAAAAAACTGATGCTGTGTCAGTTTAGAAAAGAAAGCACAGAATTATTTTATTTTGGGGGAATAAAATTAAAGGGATGATGCCTGTCCAAACAAATGACATCCCTCTTTTGAACAAAATGCATCTTCTGCTTCAGGGATAAACTCTCTTGTGATCTTGTCAAGAACCTTAGCTTTGCCCAACCTCAGGCTCCTTATTTAGAAAACACAGATTAAAATAAAAGCTGCCTAGTCCTGACTGGTGTGGCCCACTGGGCTGGGTGTCATTCTGCAAACCCAAAGGGCTCAGGTTTGATTCTCAGTCACATGTCTGGGTTTCAGGCTGGGTCCCCAGTTGGGAGCATGTGGGAGGCAGGCAATTCATGTTTTCCTTGTGTATCAATGTTTCTCTCCCTCCCGCCCCTCTCTCTAAAAACAGATAAATAACATCTTTAAAAGAATAAAAGAAAAGCTTCCTAAAGTCCAAGGTTGTATCAGATGAATATTTGTGCTGGCCTTTTAGCTCCAAGACCTATAATTCTACAAAATTTGTAATTTGTAACCCTAAACCAGGGGTGGTAAGAACATTGCCAGCTTTATACAGGGTGAGGCAAAAGTAGGTTTACAGTTGTTCATATGGAAAATATTGCAATAATAAATAAATAATAATATAAGGACAAACTCTGCATTTTGCATACCCACAATTATAAACCTACTTTTGCCCCACCGTGTATACAATCCAATTGGAAAAGTGTTCCAATTCACATTAAAAAAACTAAAAAAAAGAGGTATCAACCAAGCACCTAGATGGGAGAGGGGTTGGGGGGATGGGCAAAAAAGGTGCCAGGATTAAGAAGTAACAAATTGGTAGTTACAGAACAGTCATGGGGATGTAAAGTACAGCATAGGGAACAGAGCATCCAAAGAACATACATATGCATGACCCGTGGACATGGACAACAGTGTGGGGATTGCCTGAGGCAGTTGGGGAGGGGCTGAGTGGAGGCGGACAAAGGGGAAAAAATGGGAACAACTGTAAAAACATAAACATTAAAACAAGAATAGAGGGTGAAAATGTCATTTTAAATATAATATTCAAAGCTCCAGTAAGGAAGTGATATCTGAACAAAAATCTAAAGGCAATGAAGGAGTAAACCACGAACACAAATGAACACTGAGACAAAAGGGGAGGGATGGCGCATGCTCGTCTGTGCAAGGGATCAGGCCCTTGTGCGGGGATGTGCCCGGGCTGAGGGATAACTGCTTATGTCTCAAACTCTTTAAAGGCAGAGGAAGGAATTACACAGAGCAGGAGAAGCTCAGTAAATGTCAATAGGAGACAGGAAGCAAAGAGGGACTGTAATATTGTATCCAGAGATTTTGAGGTTCAATTTTGGGAACAGAGAAAAAGAAGCATCAGTTTTATAAAGCTGGAGAACAGCCCTGGCTGATGTGGCTCAGTGGACTGAGCATGGACTGTGAAGCAAAGGGTCACTGGTCTGATTCCCAGTCAGGGCACATGCCTGGGTTGTGGGCCAGGTCCCCAGTAGGGGGTGTGCAGTATGTAACCACACATTAGTATTTCTCTCCCTCTCTCTCTCCCTTCTTTGCCCTCTCTCTAAAAATAAATAAATAAAATTTTAAAGCTGGAGAACAGATGATTAACTGATTTTATGTCCTGTCTTTTTGGTTTTCTCTTAAAAATGTTTCTCAAATGCAGATGATTCAAGGGATTTGAAGATTTTGTTTTTTGGCTTTGAGTTGAAAATAAGTTTTTTTTAGTTTCTTTTTTTTACTATATTTAAGATATTTTGTAGATATTTAGACCTCTTTAAAGATGAAAGCTTAGAGTTCAAATTATTCTCTCAATATGATCTTATTATTTGGAAGGAATTAAAATACCATTTATAATAAGAATAACAATTTATAGAATTATTAATAAATGTGAATAGAAATGCTTCCCCTCCACCCACCCAAATGGTCAAGAGAATTGGGTCTGGGATTAGGATGGTCTTTGCAGTGGTTTGGATAGTTTGCATTTGCCTCTGCAAATAACTTTGGATGACTTTTACATGACCATGTTATTGTTTTCCTAAATGGTATTTTTAGGAATTGGAAATAACAGAAAGTTCTGGTGGACTTGCCACTTGTCCTTAGTAACTTGTGTAACTAACTGCCTCTTTCCCAAAAAGTGACTGAGCAATACCAGTCGAGATTATAAGTGTAAAAGGGATGTTTTTATGTAAGACAGTTGCAATAACAGAAGACACAATACTGGTTTGGTTGCTGGGTTTTTTTTTTTAACTTGGTTTCTGTTTAAATTACAGAAGGAAAATTCTTTCTTTCTGGGTTTGTTGTTATTGTTGTTGTTGTTACTGTTGTTTTTGTGAGAATTTTTTGCGAATAAGTAGAGCCCTGAATGGTGTGGCTCAGTGGATTGAGTGCTGGCCTGCAAACTGTAAGGTCACCGGTTTGATTCTTGGTCAGGGCACACGCCTGGGTTGTGGGCCAGGTTCCTGGTTGGGGGCTGGCAAGAGGCAACCAATGGGTGTTTCTCTTCTTCTCTATCTCCCTCCCTTCCCCTCTCTCTAAAAATTAATAAATAAAATCTTTTAAAAAATAATAAGTAGAGAAGTCTCTGGTCTCAAGAGACAGTCAATGCCCATTTTGTTTCAACATCACTAAAATACAATGAATTTTAGAAGGACTCCACTTTTGGTCTTTTCCCTTCTACTAAAGATTTTTGAGGATAAAATGTTTCTATCTTTCACCTGACTTTTTAAAAAAATTAATTTGCACTTTCCACTTTTTGGTTGAAAGGTACCAAACTTGAAAACATAACACAAATAATATAGTTGAAAATTCTACTTTATTATTTTTCTATTATAAAAGTAATGTATATTCATTAAACAATAAAAGGAGAGAGCACAAAAGGTATAAAGAAGTTAACTTTCAAATTGCCTATGATCCCATTGCAGGAAAAAAACTACGATCATTTTGGCATATTTCATCACTCTCTTCCTATGTATTTTTAATATAGCTCAGATATTACTATAATAAAGTACTATATTCAAATTTTATAACATAATAAAATTATTTTTCTCATACCAATTAAAATTCTTTTTAAAAATAATTCTAAAGGCAGACTAAAATTCCATAATAAGGATACACTATAGTTTATTAGACATTCTCCTAATATCAACTACTTAATAGGAAAGTTAGTGGGCCAAGGGATATAAACATTGTTACAGCCATTCTGCTTTCTAAAAAGATTGGTCTTGAGAACACAGGGCGGGAATACGCAGAGCCAGTGAGGGCGAGGGGCTGTCCAGGCCGACGGTAGAAGGAGTAGACTCAGAGGTCCCGGCCTAGCCGCTCCAGCTCATCAAGGAGGAAGAGCATATCGGCCTGAGTCAGTGCAGGGTTGGCCACAATCATGCGGAAAAAGTTGCCGCGGGTCCCATGGGGCTGGTAGCCAATCATCATGGAGCCCTCCTTCACCATGCGCTCCTTGAGTACCGGGGCCACCTGTGGAAGGGGTGCAGAATGTCAAGCTGCAGCCTGGGGTCAGGTGAGGGTGGGGGGCTTCCTGGTCAATGAGTTACCCAAGATATATTTCCCTCCCATCCAGGGACCTCCCGGAGGTAGCATCCATTGCTCTGATCCTGACCATGGCCCCAGTTTACCTTTTCTACCATAGCCAACCTGCCTGGCCTTCTCTACCATCTGGCCTATTCCCCATCTCACCTACTTTCCAGGCCATTTTCTGTCAAATCCTGACTTCCCTGATTCATAGCGCTGCTTTAGTCTAACTTCAAGTCCCAGTCGTCCTTAACACTTTCTCTCCCTCTCTGAATTCCTGTAATATTTTTTATCTGTACCCTGTAATCTAACATGTGTATTTACAAGAGTTCCTCGAACACATCGGTTTCGAATTGGAAAGTCTTGTTTTCTAAGTATTACTTCTCCAGGGCAAGAACATTCTTGTCCTTTCAGATCATCTGCAGCACCTACCACCAACCTATACTTAGGGACCTGTGACATATTTCCTCACCTCTAGGAGGCATGTCTGGACTGGACTTACTGGGTTGCTTGTCCCCAGTATCAGGGATTAAGGCTCTTCCATGATCTGCCTGCCTCATGTCTCTGCCCCGGACCTGAGTTCCCTGCAGAAGTCCCAGCACATGGGTCTATGCACACTGGTGACTTACCCTTGTAACCCCCCTCTCTGGCTTCTTACTTCCCAGAAAAACACCTTATTCTCCATCCCCAGCCCCACAGCCATGAGGACAAGTTGGTGTTTTCCAGTTCATGTCCCCACCTCAGGAGCAATAGATCAGCAAGGGGACAGGCCACACCATTCAAAACCGGCAGGTGGCGTAAATACACAAGCTGCGTTAGTCCCCTCACTGGGTTAACCAGAGCCTGGGGGGAGTGAAAGCCTACCTTAGCCAGCCTTTCACTGTAATCCAGACTCTTCTGCTTGCCCCGCAGGCTGGGGGGCAGGAACCAGAAACACACATTGACAAACTCAGGCTGGGAGGAATGCGGAAGAGAAAGGTGTAAGCTGAGAAGAGGGACTGTCCCCCCTCACTGTTCCTCTTCCTCCATCAGGGCTTTGCATGTAAGGTAGGCTAGGGGTGTAGGAACAAAGAGCACAAGGTAGGTTGTACCTCCATGACCAACTCAAATCCTTCCCGCTTCTTCATTTCTTCCACCAGGTAACTTCGAATAGAGAGTGACAAATCACAAGTGGGGGAGGAAAGAAAATAAAACAGACCCAGAGAATGAGCTGGAGAGGCACTGAGAGCAGTAAGGGGTTTCAGGGAAGGGACCTGGGGAGGAGAACTGGAACTGCCCCCACTCCTACCGGGCAAGGGCAAAGGCCTGGTCCACACGCCGCTCCAGCCCTTGCCCGCCCTGTGCCTTCCACATGAGCCACAACTTCAAACAGTCCACACGGCGGCCACACTGCACCACCTTGTCTCCTGTATCCAGGGCCACATCATAGAATTTGTCCTGCTGGAAGAGGTAGCTGGCCTGGGACCCGTGGCAGCGCTTGAGCAGATTCTGTGGGTAGGTGGGAGGCTGTCAGACCCACCCTCCCCACCCAGCTTTCCTGCAGCACTTTACTAGCGGACCTCTTAGCTCGGTTCACCAGCTCCTTTCCCTGGAACCAGGTGGCACTGGTGGGATGGCTGCCATCCAGCTCTGTCTGGGTTTCCTCCCAACGCCCAAGTTCTTCCCAAACTCAACCCAGGTCCCTTCAATTCCAACTTTAAGCTGGAAACGTTTTCCTTTGGATGAAGACAGGCCATGGGGGAGCGAGAGAGCCCATTACAGGGAATTAGGGTGGTCGCAGATATGCAGCTTCAGGTGGGATGGTAAGGAGAACACAGTAAGGCCAGGACCCCCTCTAAGGAGAGAGAGAAAAGAAGACAGAGGTCTAAGTTGAGAGATGGGACAAGGCCAGGGGCATGGGCAGACCCACCGTGGTATCCCGGAGAAGAAGAGCTGAGCACTGCAGGCCTGCTGCGAGGAGCTTGTGGGGGTTCCAGGCCACGGAGTCAGCCCTGGGGTGGGTACAGCAGAGCTGGGTCACCTGGCTCCTCCTTAAGCTGTCTAGCTAAGCTCCTCTCCCTTCCTAGACCTCAGCAATGGGGCTTTAGTCTCACCCCAGCCCAGCGGTCAGAAGAACTGCCATGTCTGCCATCTGAACTCCCAGTCCCAATCAACCATCTCTCCAATCCCCCTCCCACCAATGTCTTTCCACCACTGCCCCTAGACTGTGACTATTCTATGGATCAAGGATTTGAATGGTGGGATTTCGGGAGCAGGAGCTGCAGGCACCTGTGGATCCCATCCAGGAGATGTCTATGTGTCTGTGACAGCAGGACACTTCCACCCCAGGCAGCCTGTGGAGCAGAAGGAGCAGCATGGGTGTGGCCTCAGCTCAGCCCAGCCCACCCTCAGGTCCACATCCCACTCACATCCACATGCAGCCATAGCCCATGACGCTGGCACACATCAGCAACTGCTTCCAGGGGGTCAAAGGCCCCCAGTACAGTAGTGCCAGAAGTGGCACTGACCAGGAACGGCACAGCACCCTAATGCAAAAATACAGAGGGAGAAAGAGGCTTAGCTGCAATGTCATCTAAAAAGCAACCCAGAGAACTGGTGCCACAGCCCATTGCTAAACTCTGCATGCCTGACCTGGGCCCTTTCAACTTTACAAAGTACCTCTATCTCCCTCCATTTGCAGGTGAAACACTAAGATTCAGAGGTGTGAAGAAACTTGTCCCCAAGCTGAAGCTCCAGAGAAGGAACCCAAATCTAAGTTAGTCTGTTAGTCCATCTCCAAGGCTCATACTCTTTCAAATATCAATGCCTAGTAAGGCATTTGATCTTTCCAGTAGGAAGATCAAATGTCATTTAAAAATTTCTAGTAGTACAAAAGTTTATAAAGAAATTGAATTAGTATTTTGTTTAAATCATAAAAAAAAGCCCAGGCCTAGATGGTTTCACTGATGAATTCTACTAAACATTTAAAAAAGAATTGATAGCTCTGGCCAGGTAGCTCAGTTGGTTAGAGTGTTGTCCCAATATGCCAAGGTTGTGGGTTTGATCCCCAGTCAGGGCACATACAAGAATCAACCAATGAATGCATAAATAAGTATAACATCAAATTAATGTTTTGCCCTGGCTGGTGTGGCTCAGTGGATTGAGTGCCAGCTTGCGAACCAAAGGGTCTCTGGTTCGATTTCCAGTCAGGGCTCGTGCCTGGGTTGCGGGTTCAGTCCCTGATTTGGGCTCATACCGGAGGCAACCAATCAATGTTTCTCTCTCTCTCTCTTTCCCCCTTCCTTCCCCTCTGTCTAAAAATGAGTAAATTTTTTAAATATTTATTTTAAAAAAGCCCAGTTGGCTTCTTTGTAGACAGAAACTGACAAGCTGAACCTAAATACCTGAAGAAAAGAACAAAGTCGGAGGACTTGCACTTCCTGACTTCAAAACTCACTACAAAGCTACGTTAATGAAGACACTGTGGTCTACAGTACAGAATGCAGATCAATGAAACGGAATTGAAAATCCAGAAACAAACTCACATTCACAGCCAACTGATTTTCAACAAGGATGCAGAGACAATTCAGTAGGGTAAAGAATAGTCTTTTCACACATGGTGCTGGGACAACTGGCTATCCACATTAAAAAAAAAAAAGTTGATGACAGCTGTCGGAGGGGAGATGGGTTTTCGGGGCTGGGTAAGAGGGATGAAGGGATTAAACAAAAAGCCCAAAACCCTCCTAGACACAGGCAACAGTGTGGTGATGACCAGAGAGGAAGGGGGTGAGGGGAGGTAGAAGAGGGTAAAGGGGGGATGAATGATGATGGGGGGAGACTTGGCTTGGGATGATGACCCACACAATAGAGTACACAGATGGTGTTATAGAACTGTACACCCGAAACCTATACAATTTTATTAACCTGTATCATCCCAATAAATTGTATTTTAACAAGCCATTCAAAAATGAAGTTGAACCCCTTTCTCGTGTCATACACAAAAATTAATTCATAGTGGATTATAGAACTAAATGTAAGAACTAAAACTACAGAACTCTTATATGAAAATACAGGAGCCTGAGTTGGGCAAAGACTGCCTAGATATGGCATCAAAAGCACAGGCACTCAAAGAAAAACTAAACTGGAACTCATCAAAATGCAAAACTTTTGTATTTCAAAGGACACCATCCAGAATGTGAAAAGTCAAACTAGAGAATAGAAGGAGATATTACAAATCATATGTCTGATAAAGGACTTATATCTTGAACAGAATAGAATAAGCATATGACAGGATGCTCAACATCATCAATCAACCCGGAAATGCAAATCGAAACCACAGCAAGGTACCACTTCACACCCACTGAGATGGCAACAATCAAAAGGAGAAATAACAGCTGTCAGTGAGGATGGGGAGAAACTGGAACCCTCACACACTGCTGCTGGAATTACGAACTGGTGCAGTCACTTTTTTAAAAAAATCCTCATCTGAGGACATTTTTTCCATTGATTTATACATAGAGAGGAATGGAGAGGGGAAGGGAGAGAAAGAAATCTTGGCATGACAAAGAAACATCAACTGGTTGCCTCCAGTTCACACTCGAACTGGAGATGGAACCCGCAACCCAGGCATGCGTGTTGACCACGGATCAAACATCGAACCCACAACCTTTTGGTTATAGTGTGACGCTCCAACCAAATCAGCCACACTGGCCAAGGCAGGTGCAGTCACTTTGAAAAACAGTCTGATGGTTCCTCAAAGGTTAAACATGGAGCTACCATATGACTAAGCAATTTCACCACCAGGTACATAACCAAGAGAAATGAAAGACATATGTTCACATAAAAACATGTACACAAATGTTCAGAATAGCATTATTCATCATAGCCCCAAACTGGAAACAACCCAAGTCCTTCAACTGAGAAATAAATAAATAAATTGTGGCATATCCACACAATGGAATATTATTCAGCATTAAGAAAGAATGAAGAACTCGTACGTGCTACAACAGGAACGACCCTTGACAACATTATGCCGAGTAAAAGCAGTTCATCGCCAGAGGCCATGTGCACTATGACTGCGTCCCCATGAAAAACCCAGAATAGCAAATCCATGGGGACACCAACAGGTTAGTGGTGGCCTAATGGGAAGTATGGGAGTGTGGGTGACTGACAGCTAGAAGGTATGGGGTTTCTTTAGGAGCTGATGAAAGTATTCTAGTATTTATTGTAGTGATGGCTGCACAATTCTGTAAATATGTTAAAAACACCTGGATTGTATACTATGAATGAGTGAATTGTATGGCATATAAATGAATTGTATTTCAATAAAGCTATTACCAAAAAAGTTTATACAATAAACAGTAATACTCTACAAATCTAATTGATACTCATACTGCTCCCCAGAGGTAACATCCCTATTCAATAAATTCCTATCGTTCTAAATAATAATAAGCTTGAACTGTCCCTCCTGTACTGCAATTTGCTATATATACTTTTTATATGTAGACTTAAATACATAATGGAGGTATTTTCTTTTTTATAAAAAATATTTTATTTATTTATTTTTAGAGAGAGGGGGAGGAAGGGAGAAAAGGGGAGGAGAGAAACACTGATGTGAGAGGGAAACATGAATGGCTGCGCCTCACACACACACACACCTGACCAGGTGGTTCCTGACCGGAACCACAACCCAGGCTTGTGCCCTAGGGATCGAACCAGCGACCCCTCGCTTTGTGAAACGACACCCGACCAACTGAGGCACACCAGTCAGGGCTATAGTGGAGGTATTTTCATGTTAGTATATATGTTCCCATCTTATTCTTTTAAATATCTATGTACTACTCTAATAATAACAATAACAAATAGTAGCTAATATTCATACAGTGCTTCATGGGCTCTAAGTGCTTTACATGTATTAATTCATTTAATCCTTATAGTAGTCCTACATGGTAACTTCTACATTATGTTCATTTTACAAAGGAACATACCAAGACACGCAGATATGGTATTATAATTTATCTACTGATTGACATTAAAATTTTTTTAATTTTACACTTTGCTTCAGTGCACAGAATTCAAACTACTATGATGATGATTTATAGAATAATCTTAGCAGTGGGACTCTGAATCAGATACTTTTAAAAGTATCTGATACTTTTAAAATACTTTAAAAATGTATATACAGCACCAAAATGCCCTCCACACTGGCTGCAGCAGTTCGCGTAGCCCCCCGTGTGGAGGGTGCCGGGCCTCCACACTTCCCACTGCTCACGGTCTGCGCTCCTCACCACTGGCGCGCACATCTTCCCAAAGTTCTCTCTGTACAGACCCTCCCAGAGCAGAGAAAGCCTCCACAAGACACTTCAGGCCCCCAACACCCTCTCTGTGGTGCCACCTTGGGATTCCACTCAATAACTCAGTCCTGCTCCTTTCTCTTGGGGTCAGATCCTGCCTGTGGGTCTCGGCAGAGTCCTTGAGAGGACCAGAGTCTCCTCACCCCTCGCGTTTCCCATGGGTCATTTCAGCCCACAGAAGAGGCAGGCACAGAGATCAAGAAGAGGGATGAGGAAAGCCTTGGGTGGGAAGAGCCCAAAGAACCCACCGAGAAGGGACACGACCCAGCTCCACACCCTGCTGCACACCCCAGTGCCCCTCACTCACTCACCTCAGCCTTGGCCAGACAGATCTGCCTCTCCAGATCCTCAGGGATCATCTTCCCTCTGGAAAAGAAAACTGAGTGGGTAAAGACATAATTGGTTCTCTAGGCTAGGAAGTGTTGAGATCAGCGTAATATGGGTTTAGCAATACAAAAGCCACAGAGTTGATTTTTCCCTAAGAAGGGTGAACATCTCAGGGGACATCTGGGAGACAGAATTGAAAATTCTGCAGGAACAGAGAGGGGACAGCAGAGGGGGGGACCTGCAGCCAGAGCTTCCCACAGCAAGAAAGCACGCAGCACCAAGCCCAGTCAGGGCCACGAGGGCAGGACTGTCACCTCGCATCTGCCTTGACCACTCGGACACTGTCGGTGCCAAATCCCAGGAAAGCGGCTCCCTTTTTGATGGAGTAGTGACACTGTGGAGGAAATCAGAGCGTTAAGCTAGGGGTGGGAGGGCAGGGAGGATGGAGAGGGAAGAGACTAATAAAAGTCAGGTGTAAGCTGTAATAGATAAGCCCCTGTAGACCTGGGTTTTTTAAGCATTCATGAGCCTACAAATTGCTGGCGTATCTGATTAAAATGCAGAGTCAGATACAATAAGTCTGGGGTAGGGGCTGAGATTCTGCATTTCCAATAAATGCTCCAGTGATATTGATGCTGCTTGTCCATGGACTATGCTCTAGGTAGAAAGTGCGTGGACTGTGTTCACCTCACTCATTGACCCTTCCTCTCCCCACTCCCCAGACTGAAGACAAGGTGAATGGGAGCCCCCTTGATTGGAAGGAAGCACAGATGCTTGAGGACAGGTTGGCCTTGGAGGATATGAGTCTGGGCAGGCAAAAAACCTGACAGATCTCAGACCCCGCTGGCTAGAGATTAAAATCAGGAGCTTAAGGAAGGCCTGTGCCTTCTCCCCACCTCCTCTGTTGTGAAGAGGGCCAGGGGTGGCAGCGCCCGGAGGCCCCTCTGCTTGCAATCAGGATAGCGCTGATAGCGGGCCAGGTTCATAGCATACATGTTGGCGATGGAGCCACCTGTCACAGAGGGGGATGAGGGCAAGACAGAGAGACAGTGGAGCTTGCTTCTCTTGACCTCTCCACCCAGAACTGATTAAAAAACACAACTGGTTGGCCCCCTGGTCACAAATTCGCAGGGCTCTACGAATGTACTGAGAGCCAAGAACAGCCCAGGAATCTAGATCTGACTGTCCCCCAACATATCCTGAGCTGCATCGAAAACAGCCCACGGGGAGCAGGCACAGGAGCACTGATCCCAGGGACTTCTTGGCAAATGCAGGGATAGAGTATTGGGCAGCCTCTTTCTGGTTTGGCCAGAGCCCAGCTGGATGGGAAACAGAGAGGAATGCCCCCTCCCTGCCCGCTTAGAGCAAGAGCATTGTGGGGAAGGAGGAACCCTTAAAAAGGCCAATAAACACTCCCCTTCTCACATACCAGGGCAGAAGACCCCATCCCCAGAGCTCCAGCCCACCAGCGCCCGAAGTTTCTTCAGCACTTCCTCTTCCATGAGCACAAACACAGGGGCGATTTCATAAGTGTACCTGCCAAGAGAAGGAAAAACGAGAAAAGGGAAGGGACAGGGAGGGATGCCAGGTGAGATTCTCAGAGGAGTCAAAGAGAGCAGGTAGTGAGAATGAGCAAGGGAAGGGCCCAAAGAAAGGAAGAATTGGTGTCGAAAAACCAAGGAAGCAAGAATAAGAACGAACTAGGATCAGGAGACAGGAGAAAGCTGAGAGGGAGGGAGCACAAAAGGGAAAGACTGCAGCGGAGATTCTCAGAAAACAGAGATGGGGCCAAAACCGTTTTCTTCCCCTCCCCCTAGGGCAGTCTTGTGCAAATCCATATCCCTCGTGGAGTGGTAGGTGGGGCCCTTGGCATGGCTCACTGGCTGGTATTGAGGCTCTCAGTGACAATGCGCCCGGCCAGAGCGTGAGGATCCAACCCTGAGAAGAGCTGGTTGAAGAAGCGAGGGTGACCTGGAGAAGGGGGCAGGGAGCTCAGAGCTGAGCTGGGTACAAACTCCAAACACTCCTCCCACCAGCACCCAGGACCCACAGGTCTTCACGCTGTAGCGGATCACAGCCCGGCACCGCTCCAGAATTTGCTCCTGTGACTCCGCCTGGTTCTGCAGCTCCAAATCCAGCAGCTGCTTCAGCTCCTCTGGCTCCTTCCACTCACAGACCTCGGAGGAGAAGCAGGAGATTCTGGGGGCCCTTAGACATTCTATCACCTGGCTGTCCAAACCACATCTCCATATACACAGACACCACTAATGTGCACTTAAAGCAACACGTGAGCAACGGTAAATAAGTATAGGAAGACCCAGTATCCAATCCCTGAGGCACACAGTGAGATGGTAATAAAGTTTGGGGAGAAGCCTTGTAGAAGGAGCAGAGTTCTGAACCAGGTTGATGGGCAGGAAGAGAAGTGAGAAAGGACCCACCTTCTCAGTAGCACTGGTCCCTTTCCAAATGATTTCATCCACAACAATCCTAAACACATCCTGGAGCAAGGCTTCTGCAGCCACGGGATCCCAGTCAAGGGAGAGGAGTGGTTGGGAGTCAGCCATCAGGATAAAATCTATGAGCAGAGCAGGAGTTATTCCCTACTCAGCCTGTGTACCCAACCTGGACCTCACCAGCAAGAATCCCAATGTCTTAATGTGCCTAAAGGCTCCAGTCCTGCAGCTCAGTTCCAGCCTTCACTGTGCAGACAAGGGCAACTGAGAGTGTCTAGGGAGAAAGCCAGTTGAAACAAATGAGAGGAAAAAAGGCAGTTAGCACCGAGCATGTGAAATCTAGTGGCCACTGCCCACCTAAGGCAGTAACAGCGCCTTACCTTTCAGTTCAGGTCTCTCTTCAGGCAAGCTGGAGGCGGGGCACACAATTTGATTTTCAGAATGTTAAGACCGGGGCAGCAGAGGGAGGGAGGTATAAGCAGCAGTCACATGACCATGACATCACTGTCATGACCTTGCCCTTAAGAAAATGTACACAGATTTGGGATAGGAACAATAGGTTAAGTCCCCTGAATAAACATTAGCTGACAGGGAGAAGGCAGAAAATGAGACAAAAGGCAAAAACACAAGCCACGTTAACGTTAACAAGAGAGTTAAGATATGCAGAAAGCCAGCAGGAAGAAGGGCTTCCCACCCTGAAGCAAAGGGTCCAGAGTGGGGTTCCTGGGAGATGTTTGGCAGGCAAAGAGGGGCAAAGGGAGGGGAGACTGAGGTTGGGGGGGTACTGAGAAAGACCAGTGGAGGTGAAATGGTTTAGGCAAGCTTCAGAGGCCTATCTCTGCATCCCAACCCCCAGTCTTTTCAGAACAGTCCTGAGCTCTAAAGCCCTCTCCCAAAGCAGGAAGGACAGGAGGTTACATTGAGGAAGGATCTTGCTAAGTAAGTATAACCCTGTGCCTTGCAGGCTGAGGTGCTCAATAAACAGGGAGTGGCAGTTTGAAGTGAACACCAGCTGTGCTCATGACAGGGTGCTGGGACTGAGAAAGCCTCCCCGTCCCACAGGGAGGACACAGATGCACATGCAGCAGGTATCACCCAGGGCTTGGCTGGATGCTGACCCCAAGGGGCTATTCAGGAAAACAGGAGATGGGTGAAGTCTGAAGACTGGTGAAGATAAGAGGGGACTGGAGCCGAATCCTCAAAGTAGGCAGGAGAAATGAAATTGCTGAAAAGGAGGAAGGGAGGCGCGCAGGGGTAGGGGAGGATTTCCATAGCTTACACTGGGAGTGAGTGAAGGTCCAGCTGGCTGGAGGAAGGGTCTGCAAGAGTGATATCAGGAGCACAGCTGCATGAAGTTATGGGGAGCCCAGAGTGCCAGCCAGGCCAAGGAATCTAAATTTTGTCTTGCAGAAAGTGGGAAGTCACTGAAAGATTGTATGTCAAGGAAAAATGTGATGAAGTTGATACTATCTGAAGACTGGTATATAGTAGCAGGATACAGAGGTAACAGGCTGTAGCCAGAAACCAGGCATGAGGTGATCCACACTTGACTAGATGGGGTCATTAGAAAAGGACAGACAGAGGAATATGCAGGCTTGGCACTCACTGGGTTGCACTGAATTTAACACTTATTGAATGTACGTTGGAGGAGAAGGAAGAGTCAAAGGTGACCCTGGGGATTCAAGCATGGGTGACTGGAAGAATAATTGTGCCCCTGAAAGAAACTGAGTACAGAAATGGGAAGCCAGATGGAAAGTAAAATGGTTATTTCTTGGAAACACTCATCCAAGTGGAGGTGTCCTGGGACTACAGCTACTCGTCTGGGAGGTGGGCGGGCCCAGGGCTCTGATAAGATGCTGGAACAGAAAGCAGATTTAAGAGTCAGGGTTCAGCTGAAGCCTTGCGACCAACTCCACCGCCCCCGGGAGAGAAGGGTCAGAGATGGCCCAGGAAAGAGGGGCGAACACCAAGGCCTGGGAAATCCCTCAGACGAGGGGGCAAGAGGATCAAAAAAATGTGGAAAGGGAGGAACCTTCCTCAAGGTGGGCTGCTCTAACGTCATCCTGTCAACAGCCACCGGACTCCACACTAGTAGATAACAAAGGTCCAAGGGACACTGGTGGTGTTGTGACACATGGTCTTAGCCTTAAACTTTCCTCAGTAGGTTGGGTTTGGAGCTCATAAGGAAACTAGCCTACGCCTTGGGAATGAGAGCGTGTCCTTCCTCAGCACTCAACTCTAGGTCTCTGTTGGGCGGCAGCAGTGAGATGTTTATGCTGGGAGGTTCAGGGGACAGAGGCTAATAAAAATAGGTACCACTGAAGTAGGTACTCACCATATGCCACACTACATACTTAATATGTAGTACTCTAATCTCCACAACTGTTTGGAGTACGATTTTTACCAACAATTGAAGATGAGGAAACTAAGATTTCAGAGACGCCATGTATTTAACTTGTCCAGGTCACACAGCCAGTGTGTGGCTGAGCTGGATTTGAACCTGGTGAGTCAGGTTGTGAAGCCCCTACCCCTGACCATCACGCTTGATTGTCTCATGTGCAGCTCTCTCAGGCCCTGAGTTTGCTGTGATGTCAAGGCCATTGGGCCAGGAGTGAGGATACCTCAGGACCTCAGTGTCTGTAAAATAAGGGTTTAAAGAGAGACTCTCCAAGGCATCTGCTGGTGTTCATAGGAGCTCAGGCCCTTGATGTGGCAAGCAGGCCAGGGAAGACATTCCTTTCTCTTTCTGGGTGGAAAACAGGTTGCAAGGAGTTTGCCAGGGAGAAATGACTAGTGAAGAGAGAGAAACCCCTGGCTGGAGAGTGGCCTTGCCCACAGCTCTAAAGGGAATGTCTGCAGGGAAGAACTTGGCTCCATCCACCTGGCACCTTCTTTGTTCATTCCATGTTAGTTGCCTTTCAGAAATGAAATCTGGAGGTGAGGGCTCTGGACACCCCAGTCTCCTCCAGGGGTAAACCAGAAGGTGAGGCATCACTGCCCTCGTTCCCCATACAGAATCCTGTCCTGGGTACCTGAAAGAGGGAAGAACCCTTCCCGAATAGAGTTTTTCTTTTTAAAAGCAAGAAGGAGATTAACCTGCAATACGGAATGATAAAGCAAAAAGACATGAACAGGGTTAGGAAGAGCACTTTAGCCCCTGGCTAAGATGTTGCTTTTTTCCCCACAAGTCACAGGTTTTGTTCTGACTTCATGGGATCTCTAGTGCATAAGCTCCTGTAACCATCAACTCCTTCATATCCGTCTTTCCTTCACTAATACAACCTAGATTGTATGGTCAATCATTTCAACCACTCTTTGTCCAAAATCCTCAACTCCCAGCCCTACTGTCCTTCCACCAAACACACCTGGCAAAACCCTAATCCAACTGACCACTCTCTTACCAAATGCACCAGAACTGCTGGATTCTGCTAGTGAAAACCACCTAACCATTCAAATTGGCATTGCTATAAATTCATGGCCACTGTGTTCATTCCAATTAAACACATATGTTTACCACTCCTCCTTCCTGAAACCCCACTGAAGTCACATCAGTGGAATTTTAATTCCAGAAGGATAAAGCAAATGAAAGGAGAGGCAAGAGATGTCAATAATGGTAGAAGATGGAAAACAAATAAAAAGTGGTAACTGGGTAAGCAAATGACAGAAAGTCAAAACCAGTATGTATGCAGAAGGCTATGCCAATGGGAAAGGATCTGGTTCTGGTGGGGGCGGGTGGCCCAAAGAGGCTCAGGAATTAAAAACACTAGCTATCTTGGAAGGCAGGAGGAAGGGGCACAGCTAAAAATATGAAAAATTTGTATAAGGAACATTTAAATCCTCATTCTTCTCCCTTTGCCCATTCAGCCAGGTGACTCCCCTCCCAATACTTCCAAAGAAGCATGAGGTTTGTTTTCCAGAGAAATTGAAACAGGAGGCCTGGATGTAGGGTCACCAGACACAGCAGGAGGTGAGGACAAGGCATTGTACTAAAATTGGAAGAATTAGGAGGAAGTTACAAATTGAATCAACTCCTTCCTTCCAATCAGCATTCACAAGCAGCAGCCAAAGGTAAACCCTCCGAGGCCAGATTGAAGGATTCCTCTCTAGAGAAACTGACCTCAGGAGCCCCAGAGAATAAACCTACTGAAGCTCTTATTTCAGTCCTTGGTCAGTGTTGACCTCAAGTCAATACTGCCTATCCATGCACATGGGCTCTTCAATATGCCTAGTGCCTTGTTCTTAAATATAAGCAAACAGACAGCCAAAGGTTATCACATATTTAAGGAGAATGCCTAACATGAACTACAGAGGTAAAAACAGACAAACTGAAAAAAGGCATTTGGTGGAAGAAGAGAGATGCAGGGAGCAGAAGAAAGCCTCAAAACTTCAAGAAGACATTGCATCCATGAAAAAAAATTGATTGCTCTCCAAAAGGAATACTCAGAGAACAAGAAGAAGCTCTCATATTTTAAAAACAACTGAAATGAAAAAAATTAGAAATAACACGGGACCCTGGGTGGATAGCTCAGTTGGTTAGACCATCATTCTAATATACCAAGGTTGCAGATTCAAACCCCAGTCGGGGCACATACGAGCATCAACCAATGAATGTATAAATAAGTGGAACAACAAATAAATGTTTCTCTTTATCTCTCTCTCTTTAAAAAAATTGATAAAAATTAAAAAAATAAAATGAAGCCAAGAAAATCATGTAGAGCTTCTGACCAAGATGGAGGTGTAGGCAGACACTGTGCCTCCTTGCACAACCAAAATAAGGACAACAAAAATTTAGAAACAAATAACAACCAGAACTGACAGAAAAATTGAACTATATGGAAGTCGGACAACCAAGTAGATAAAATAGACACATTCATCCAGACCAGTAAGTGGGGTGGAGTCAGGCAGCCAGATAGAGAGGGGTCGCGGCACAAAAAGTGGTGGCACCTGGGGCGCACAAGATGGCAGTGGACAGACCCTGGGTGTACAGGCAGTGGCTGGCAGACCCCGGGCGCAGGGTGGCAACAGACAGACCCAGCGAGGCAGCAATTGTGAAGCCAGGCACTGTGTACAAGGCAGTTGACTGGGTGGGCCTACATTTGCATGCAGATAAACCAGGCAAAAT